AAATCCACTGGAGTTAATGCAATCTTATTCTAAATAGATGTATATAGGAAATACATTATATATTAGTATGATGTGGCTTTGGCTGTATTAGCCATAACTATTTTGATGTTATGCTTGCAAAGAGTGGGAAAGGGACCAAAATACATTAATATTATCCTGAAACAAAATCTTTCAAGGATGTTAACCTTGTTTAGGATTTAAGATTAACAGAGGATTACAAAGAAGTGTTGACTGAAGGAACAGGAACCACGACTTCCCTTGGCAGCTAAGGGCTGTTGAGCAGCTGTTGTGTTCCAAGTGCCCTTTGGAGAGAGATGCTAAAGCAGGCCCAAGGCTCTGGAACAGTGGCCAACCCTGTTTAGCAGCAGCCCATGCAAAGCTTGCTAATCTCCATGGCAGTGTCTCCTTGTCTAAATTCATTAGATATTCCTTTTCACATGATGAATCAGGCCAACATGATTTTCGTACCAAGAGGAGGTTCAGAAATTTTCCTGAAGCAGGAAAGTACAATCAGTAAGGGGTAGACTCTTCTATAATCTCCTCAGAACAAGAAAAGAAGCACCTATTATGTGAAAAAATGGAGAAATAATGCCCTCTCTAGTTGCTGATGCCCTTCGCTGGAATTGTAGTCTTGTAAGTGCCTCTCGGAGGGACAGCATTCCCAGATTTTGGTTTTATTAATTGTGTATCGAAGGGCAATATTATTTTGTGATCCTTTAAACACATTTCTTTGGGCAAAGACATTCAGTACCCTGTTTTTAAATAATAGATCAATGCTTGCATTGATTGAATTCTGGAAAAAAAAAACCTAAAGGTATGCAAGGATTGGATAAAAATGTAAGCCAACTGGTGCAAAAAGGCGTGGAGAAATTCATTTGCTTTATGAGACACCACCTGAAAAGTAAGGGATCAGATACTGAGAGGAATCTACAGCCTAATAAATAAATGCCCTTACAATTATTTTAGCTTCAATTAGGTATGTACTAGTTTCTGTATAGAGAAAAGGGATAGGTAGGAGTACTATTAGATACACCTAAAATACAGTAGTCCTTGTCTTAACAATCACAATTGAGCCCACAATTTCCATTGTTAAGAAAGACAATTGTTAAGTGAGTTTTAAGACCTGTTTTATGATCCTTCTTGCCACAGTTGTTAAGCGAATCACTCAGCTGTTAAGTTAGTAAGGTGGTTGTTAAGTGAATGTGGCTTCCCCATTGACCTTGTCAGAAGGTTGCAAACGGTGAACACATGACCTTGGGACACTGCATCCATCATAGATACATGCCAGTTGCCAAGCATCCAAATTTTGGTCACATGACCATGGGGGTGGTACAGTCATAAGTGTGAAAAACAGTCATAAGTCATTTTTTTCAGTACAGTTGTAATTTTAAATGGTGACTAAATGGATGGTTGTAAGTCAAGGATTATTGTAGTAGTAGTTGTTGTTATTTGCGAAGTCATGTCCGACCCATCGCGACCCCATGGACAACGTTCCTCCAGGCCTTCCTGTCCTCTACCATCTTCTTTATTGTAGGTATGGGGAACTTATTTTGAAAGAATTCCATATCACAAAGAGTAGAAGTTCCCTCTAATCTACTGCATATAAAAAATAAGAAGCTAACTTGGTTTTTAAAAAAGTTAGGATGGCAGAAATTTGTCGACCATCATTTGTACACCAGAACCTTATTATTTCTGACAAATAATTTTTCTCAGTTTTTCTTTTTGGACAATGAGAGTACCAGCTACCTGAAGCATTCAGAAGAATACTTTGTAATAATTTGTAAGAGATGTTTCCCACTTCTCCATTTGTGTCTTTTTCTTTTCTGCTCATATGCCAGCACTTTTCATTTCTCCACATTCACAGTTAGGTAATTTAAGGGCAATAGCTAATCAAAGCTCTTCACTATCTGTCAAGCCTATCTGAGATAAGCAATACATCATCTCCATAAAGTAATACGGAGGAGTTCCTATTTCCTGCCTTTACTGGAAAATTATTTTCTACACTCTGGGCTGGAACAATATCATTAATAAATAGATTAAATAGTAAAGGTGCAAGCATACTTGCTTGGTGGTCTTCTAGGGTGAACCTATCCTGAATTTGAATGTTCTTATATAAAGCCATAATCAAAATTAACAACCTTCTATTCAAATTCAACTGATCTAGCTTAATCCATGGTTTCTTTCTACCAATAAAATCAAAAGCTGCAAGACAATCCCCAAAGGAAACATACAATTTCCTGTCAGCATGTTTTGCGTACTTATTTATCACATGATCCAAAACAAAACCGTGATCACTCATTGAGTATCCTGCTCTAAACCCTGCCTGTTCTTCTCCACGCACATTTGGAAAGAAATAAATGTGCCATATTTTTAAATATATATTAACCCACCTACCTACCTACCGTATTTTCCAGCGTATAAGACGACTGGGCGTATAAGACGACCCCCAACTTTTCCAGTTAAAATATAGAGTTTGAGCGAGAGAGAGGGGGGGAGAGAAAACTTGATGAGTAATATGCCAAACCACATGTGTAAAGGAATAAAATAGAATACCCGTATTTTCCGACATGTAAGACGACTGGGCGTATAGGACGACCCCCGACTTTTGAGAAGATTTTCAGGGTTTAGAAAGTCGTCTTATACGCCGGAAAATATGGTACCTACCTATCATTCACATGTATGCAGAATGAGGCACCAGGAAAAACCTGGTACAACCTGACCCCCTCCCCCAAAAAAATTCATGGGGCTGTTGCTGTTATGTTCTATCAGTTATGTATGTATGTATGTATGTATGTATGTATGTATGTATGTACAGTATGATTGTATAGTGTTTGTGTATGTATATGTGTGTGTGTGTGTATATATAACATTTTTATATAAAATATACCATTTTTAGTCTTTTACTATTGGTTGCATTGTTTTGTTCTTATTTTGCAAGCTATCCAAGCCTTACAATGGAGGCAGCATAGATATCTTGTAAAGTTTAAAAAAAAAAACAAAACACTGCCCCTCCGACAGTTAACTTTTAAGACAAACGGACAAAGGAACAGAAAACCACCATAGAGAAGCTTTGTAGAGAAAAGCTTTCTCGTCTCTCTCAGACTGCCAGGACTCTTCGGGTCATTCAGTGGAACATATTCAGGGTAGATAAAAGCCAGTTTTTCTTAAAGGTAGTAGCTTTACAAGACTTCTAGACAAATTGACTGGGGGATGTTAAGCCCTTTTTTTTCCTGATCAAATATACATCTGTTCAGAAGTAAATGGTTGGGTAGAGTGGTAGGCAGAACCTGAAGCAAACCAGTACATGAGGAGATGCTGAAGCAGTGCAAACTCTGGACACTTTCTTTCTTCCTCGCTCTGTTTTTGATCCTGTTTTTCTCTCTCAAATATGTAGGTGTAGCAAAGGGATGGAATTCTCTTATTAGAAACTTGAGAGGATCTCTGTCATTTGAAATTAAGCTGAGGACCCACCTGAGAGATACGGATAGTTACGTGCTGCCCTGAGGGATAATTATATTCAACTCCTGTCTGATACTATAATATGTGTTACGCCATTTAAATTTCAGTATCTGATTTATTTCTGAATTCTTCTTGAGACCAGTCTACTTGAGGGAATCTCTCTTTCTATATGACCCTCCTGCTAATTGAGATCAACCTAAGGGTTTGCCTGTGCTTGCCACAAGCTAATAACTGCATTTTTATTTTTATTTTTGAGAAGAGCCTTCTCTGGTAGCCACCCCAGTTCTTTGGAACACATTTGCTGGTGAATTAAGAGATTGAACCTCTCTGATTACTTTCGAACAAGTTCGACGTGCTTTAAATTATTAATTTTAAGTACTGGTTATAAGAAGGATTTGGAGTTTTAAGTTTTGTTGTAAATCAATATGTTTTGTTTAATGAATCAAATGGTTCAGAATGTTTCCAGGATTTGTTCAACCACTCCTATCGCATCAGGTTTGCATTTAAACAATTTCTTTACTGTTGTGGTTATTGGTAAAACCTTTCTGCATTTCCCCTCCACCTTCCTCCTTAGTACAGTATCAAAGAGTTACACTTCTCTTTCTCTCCCTTATAAAAGGGGCTTTGTTCCTGTTACCCTATTCTGAAATATTTCCATTGGACTTCTGCAGTGTTTCCAGCACGTATCTCCCAACGTTCTCATTTTTTTTCAGTAGAGCAGATTCAGTTTGCCAAGCTACAGAAAGCCTTTTTCATTAGGAGTTCTTGAGAAGATGCCAGAGATATATTTGGATGTGGTCATAAAGTTAACTGCCATCCAAGGAGTTCCCACCAAAAGTGATGGAGCTCCATTCAGTTACTAGAATGTGTCCTTAAGCTACAGCTACACTTTGCTCCCTGGGGTGTTGCTTTTTGTGTCAGTCTAACACTTGCCTTAGCATGTTTTTGATGATTCATTAGCCAAAGGCCTTAATATCATTACTAACATCAGTCATGAGTCTACTCTTTTCACAGATACACACACACACACACACACACACACACTACTTTGAAAACGTTCATCAAATATTTTGATCAGCTACATACATGCATATACTTTCATAGCAACAGAGATATTGTTTCACATTAAGGAGTGAAGTTCTGTTGTTGCCAGAGACAAGGATAAAGTTCTGATAAGTGGGCCATTATATAATAGGCAGTGAAATAATTTTGTAATAACCCAAGAAAGGTATATGACAAGGCAGTTACAACAAATATCGTAGGGAGCTTGCTGGGAAGGGGGGGGGGCGAATAACTTGTGAAAAATGACCATTTTGTAGCTGGTCTTCCCCACCATGGTAATCATTTTAAGAACAGGTAAGTATCTCACACTAGTAATTTTGTGTTCATGTCTATCACCTATGTTCCCACAATGTCAAATGTTGTCGTGACCCTGAGATATGATCTAATCCCGATTAAAAAAAATAATCTTGCACTTTTGAGAGAAAAAGCAAGAACCACTGCTTTTAATGAAAAACAAATGATTGCTGCTTAATGTCCAGGTTCGATACTGTAACTCCCTGGATGAAGAGGAAAAGAGAGAACTCAAACTTTTCAGCAACCAGAGGAAGAGGGAGAACTTGGGCAGAGGCAATGTCCGGCCATTCCCCGTCACCATGACAGGAGCCATTTGCGAACAGGTAGAACACCTCCTCCTCCTCCTCCTCCTCCTCCTTCTTCTCCTTCTCCTCCCTCCTCCCTCCTCCTCTACTTCCTCTTCTTCCTCTTCCTCCTCCCCCTCCTACTACTACCATGACATGAAAGCGGCTATGTACTGTGAGATATGAAAAGCCATAGCAATACATTATGGCAGCAAAAGACTTACTCTTCCCTTTGACCTTGCAAAAAAATCTTACTCATTAAAAATATCCCCAAGGGTAGGAAAATTAGAGGTGTAGAGTTAGGGTGTGTGGCAGAGTGTTAGTTTAAGGCTGCTAATAGCCAGCTGCAAAAACAGTTTCTCTTGCATAATCCCTGGGGAAAAGGCTGCTTAGGGGGTGCATTGCTAGGCCAGAAAACCATTTGGAAGGCAAAGGAGAAAAGGAACGTGTACATCAGTTTGAGAAAGACTATTACACGTAGCATTATGCATCAGCATATGCAGAGGAGTGCTTTAGGTATCCTATGGAAACCAAACAGACTTTGTAGAGGAACCCTGAAACAAAATTGGGAGTGCAGGATACTGTTTTCCACATTTTTGCATTATGAATTGCAACACTGAGTGTTGACAGTTTGCATTTCAGATCTGATTAACGTGTTTATATTTAGCGGCAGCGTGGTAAAAAACCATGTAATAAGATCATTCCAAATCTTACTTTCAATACATAAGTTTCCAATTCCCAATCTGTGAAAAAAAAATATTAATCAAATATGTGCAATGATCCCTAGAGTGGATACCACAGTTTAAATTGCTAAGTATTTCCAAGCTATCGTCTCAGTAAATGTGCAGTGAGAAAGATATCAGAGGTTTTTCTCTGGAGGCCATTCATACCACCCGTCAAGAGTTGAATAAATTGCAGCGCTTCATGCCTTCTAGTACCTTCTGTTCCCAAGATGTAAATATTTAATGTTAAAAGTTCAACCCACAATCTGAGATTGAAAGTACTGCGGTTTTATTTATTCGCCACATGTAGAAATCTCTAACCTAAATCAGTTAGAGGCTGGATTCACACAACCCTGGTAACCAGATCAGTAGTTTGTTTTAACCTTAGATTATTTTTATTATTTTATTTTAGAGTTAGCACATTATGTGAACCCGGTCGACTTGGTTAATTCAATTTTCCAGGCAAATCCAGAAAGCAACTAGTTAATCACACGGTGTGAATTCTATCAGAATAGAATATAATTCTCCTACTTCTCCTCTTTTTGGGGGGAGGGAAATATGCTAGACCAAAAGGTGCTATTTCCAAAAGGCAAATAGACTTTCTTAATATTTTTTTTCCTTTGAAAACATTTCATTTCTCATCCAAGAAACTTCTTCAGTTCTTGGATGAGAAGCGAAAATTTTAAAAGGAAAAAAAAACATAAGACAGTCCAGTTGTCTTTTAGAAATAGCACCTTTGGGATAATCATGATCTGGATGATTGAGAATCTCCATGGAAATATGGTAGACAACTCTCAATTTTCTTGATTTTTGTATTAGATCAAAGGAAACCTATCCCAACATCCTCTCTAAGGGAAGAATAGCAGAATGGAGTCAGAATCTACCATTCTTGCTCCTGTTTGCTTGCTTCGAACTGCACCCGTATAGGAACAGGTTGAGGAGTGAAAAAGCATTAATCATTTCATAGTAGATGGGAGCTGGAAAGACCTTCTGCAGTCTGTCACAATTGCTTTTGTACCACCACAATCCCTATAATACTGTAATTGGAGAGAGGCTTGACTTGTGAATAACTAGAAGAGAAATTTGCTGATTTTTATCAGTGCTTCAATTCAGCTTTTTTTCAGATGCTATCATTATTCAATGTTTCCCGCCTGGAAGAATTGTCAGAGAAGGGCCCTCTTTAATTTTTATATTTATCTTAACAGTGTGGAGGCCAAATCAATGGAGGCGACATAGCCGTCTTTGCATCCAGAGCAGGCCATGGGGTGTGCTGGCATCCATCATGCTTTATATGTAGCGTTTGCAATGAGCTGTTGGTGGATCTTATCTATTTCTATCAAGAAGGGAAGATTTATTGTGGCCGGCACCATGCAGAATGCCTCAAACCTCGGTGTGCAGCCTGTGATGAGGTAAGACCAGTCAGGCATATTCGGTACTGGGAAAGGGGGCTTGAATAAGTGGGTAAATCATGTCAGGGATCATGTGTTAGGCAGTAAATCAGTCTAGGCTTCCAGATTTGCCTTGCCAGTTTATCTTTGCATCTTGTGGTTTGCAAATGATGAAATGTCTTAGAGCTGCTCTACATATCAGCCGCGGTAGACGCTTTTGGTTCTGACAGCCCATCCAAGTTTTCATTGCTGAACAGCCCTCCACCCCCACCCTGCTGGTGCCTGGCCCTGTTCTTCTTATATAAGGTAAGACTCCCACTGCTAACCACTCCTCTCTGGAACAGCCATTGCTCTCAAATAATAAAAACATAATTGAACCCGTTGCTTTTCTCCCCCCCCCCTTCTATAGCTGCCTGTCTGCAGGTGGGAGGTGAAAGAGCAGGGAGAATTGCAGTACATTTGGATGAACTTTCTAAAATAAATTTTGGAAAAAAGAGTTAATTGTACTCCCATTTTATTACTGGAGTGTACTACAATAGCTTCATATCCTGGTTATTCTCAAATGATGCGACTGGAAGTTCAAACCTGTTGAGATAACAGACTGTCACAAAAGATTCCCCTTGCAACTACTGCTTGTGAAATAGCAATAGCACTTATATACCGCCCCATAGCGCTTTATAGCACTCTCTGGGAGGTTTACATTATCAGCATATTGGCCCCAATAATCTGGCTCCTTATTTTAAGATCCCAGGAAGGATGGAAGGCTGAGTCAACCTTGAGCTCCTCCTGTCAGGATCGAACTATAGGCTGTGGGGGCAAAACCTGAAAAGAAACCCCTGACATATGTCTGCAGTATAACATAAGCATTTAAGGAAATTATGCACTGTTGCTGTAGTGCCATAACTTGAGAAGATACAGCTTCTGCTACACATACACAGCTATGAACCGAGAGAACAAAATGGTGTCTTGGTTACGATGCAAAACAAGCCACTGAGAAGACATGAATTCATTTGTTTATCAAATTTCTCACACAAAATATCTCACACGAAGGAACACTGGGCAACGTACAAGAATTACAACAATAAATATATAAAAACACTTATTAAAAAAACATGTCTGGAGAAGAAAAATGTAGGTAGTGTGGCTTGTCTACATTTAAAACTTTCTCCCTAAAATAAAGAGCCTGTGTTCTTTATTGGATTCATGAATTGATGCAGAAGCTGATAGAACTTTGTGTTTGATGCCTGCTGGAAGTTCTTTTAGGGTACTAAAAGTAACAAGAATGTTGCTTCCTCCTGTGTCTTTTTAGATAGGAAGCAGAGCAATTGTTAACAATGTGGGACAGGCTATTTGTGCATGCTGATCTTTGCAGGGTGCTTCGGTTTTACCACCATTCATTAGAGTTTTACAATTAAGATTTTGGATGAGTATTTGTGTTTATCTGCCTGCCTGCCTGCCTGCCTGCCTTTTCTTTCTGTGAATCTCTACACTGAACATCTTGGCAAATGTTCTTTTAATTATCTTTCCCCAAATCAATCAACTAACTAGCATATGGAATGCGTGGATGGCTATTGTTCACTTTCTCTTAGTTTTCTCTTTATTTCCCATGTTTTTCCTAGGAAGTGTATCACCATAGTCTTGTTTTCGTACATCTTTTATCTGCTTTCCTGGGAGCAACATAAGGCTAGGTGTGGCCTAGATCTATCTGTCATCTTTTCTTCGTCTGTTTCACAAAAATTCTTTGAAGCTTTAACAAAGCTCTTTTGTAAATCCAGAATAGAAAAATTATCCAGGTCACTCTCTTGTTATTTGTATATCACTTTTCATTATTAAAACATCAGCTGCTTTCTTTAGTACGTCCAGTGTAATATCCATGTCATTTTCTTACAGAAATCCACATTAATTCCTTTGCGTTCCCTCCAGTGACAATGTTTAAAGTTGTACTTAAAAAAAAAAAGAATTCAAAACAAAAGCGTTTTCCAACACAAAGGATTCTTTGTAATTATTTACAAAATCTTACTTCAAATTTTTTTGGACCCTCGATCCATTTGTAATTTTTTAAGATCAGAGTTTTTAATCATCGTTTTGCTGTTTATTCCACCTCACACACACACACCCAATAATTTAAATCCTTAAACTTATATTTAAAACTTATTTCGCTAAAGATTGAAGGTTAACTAATTTACCTGAAAATCAGTTAACAAGCAATTTCCAAAAGTGATTAGAAAAGGAGGTATGCAATCTTAATGTCCTTTCAAAGGGTGCCAACAGCAGTTTGAGCAAGATGGCTATTCCCTCATTGGTTTTAAATGGGGAGAGACCACAGTCATGCAGTCTCCTCTCAAGGAATAGCTGTCTGGAGCACTTGTGGGTGACCTCAAGACCTCTCCTTATCTAGAGAGGAATTATCAAAAAGCCCGTGTAGTCACCAGCTCTTCATTCCCTCACGGTCGTCCTTTCTTTAGCGGAACCATCTTTCAGTTCACCATTTCTTCCCCAGAAGTTGCAGCCTCTTGTTTCTTTGGGTGATCAAATAGATATCTCTAAACTCTAAATACCCAACAGTCAGGGTACACAAGCTTACATGTAGTCATCACAACTAATAACCATTGGTGGTTTAATGATAGAAAAAAATGCCTATAATACAAAATGCCCTTTATCATATGGAGTTGTGTGCTGACATTAGCAAGGGCCAAATTTAGAGTTACATCTATGCAAAAGGTCCAATCAGAGAAAGCTCTCTGGCTTTGACATTTGGTCTTGAATTTCTCATTTCAAAATGCAGTTCCCTATTAATCACACAGCAGTGGTCCTCATTAGCCTGCAATTGCAAATGCTTGAGTCCCCCCCGTCTCTCCCCCCCCCCCCCGCCTGCCTTGGAGATGTATAAGCCCTAACCACAGTCAGGGCTTGTATCCTGGGAAGTCCATCTTGGTCTTTTCTTATTACAGGAGCATGTTTTCTACGTTCCATTTGCTAAACAAGGAATATGCCATTTCAAGTTAAATGTTATCCTTGAACCATATATATATATATAGCCATTTCCACAGCAACTACATAATCTGTTTATGCTGCAGAGGCAGAAAAAGAAGCCGAGACAGAAGAGTCTTGAGGCAGCCCAACTGTGAAAAAAACACGTCAAATAGATGACAGGAGATCAAGGTCTGCAGAAGCAAATAATAAATTTGATAGTTTTACGGAGGAATCATTGAGCCTGATATTTGTCCTTCTATAGCTGTCTGGTACAGCAACCAAACAGCACAGATGCAGATTCCAACAGATGGTTAGAACTGCAGAAAGAACAATTGCAAACAGCCTGCCTTCCATAGAAAACCTGTATATTGCACAGGTCAGAAGAAGGGTGAAAAAATATCTACAGACCATTCACCTCCTGGATATAAACCGTTTCAGCTCTTCCCCACGGGACAGTGCTATAGGGCATTGACAAGATGGAAAACTAATCAAGGAGAGAAGCAACCTAGAACTAAGGAGAAATTTCCTGACAGTTAGAACAATTAATCAGTGGAACAACCTGCCTCCAGAAGTTGTGAATGCTCCAACACTGGAAGTTTTTAAGAAGAGACTGGATTACCATTTGTCTGAAATGGCATAGGGTTTCCTGCCTGAGCAGGGGTTGGACTAGATGACCTACAAGGTCCCTTCCAACTCTATTATTATTATTATTATTGTTGTTGTTGTTGTTATTATTATTATTATTATTTGTATACCAAAACAACTGTACACAGGGACAGTTTTTTTCATTTTGCTGAACACTTATTTCTCACAGTCCTGCCTAATGTCTTTGAATACTTACCCATGTACTGTGGCATTATTATTTATCCTTATTATCTTCTTTACTCCCCTCTTGTTGTTGTTGTTGTTGTTGTTGTTGTTATTATTATTATTATTATTATTATTATTATTATTATTATTATTATTATTATTATTATTATTATTATTCTTTGCTTGTACACTGAGAGCTTCTGTACCGGAGACAAATTCCTTGTGTGTCTAATCAATTTGAATTCTCAATCCAGTTCAATTCAATACATATAAACAAATCCTGAGTCCTCTTTTTGTCTTTTACAGATTATCTTTGCTGACGAATGCACAGAAGCGGAAGGAAGGCATTGGCACATGAAGCACTTTTGCTGTTTTGAATGTGAAACTGTGCTGGGCGGCCAGCGATACATCATGAAGGAAGGGCGTCCGTATTGCTGCAACTGCTTTGAGTCCTTGTATGCAGAGTACTGTGACACCTGCGCTCAGCACATCGGTAAGGGAGCCATTTAGAAATGCCACCTTTCGCTGCCAGTTGGCTGGTTTGAAATAGGAAAGGCTCAGCCCTTGATGTGAAAAAAGAACCACAGCTTTTGTGTGCAGAACCCAAAACGTGATAGGACCTGTCAATATACCGTTGCCTTATATTGTTGAAGGTGATGTGCGCCTGTAGGCTAGCGGTTGAAACTGTTTTGTTTTAAAAGTACATGACAGGCCCTGGCATTTGTCTCTGTCAAGCCTGCAGTAACTCCTTGGCAGATGTACCTAGCTGGGTCCGCAGTCTAGATGCTGGCACCATTGCTTTTGGCAGAGATCAGCTGAAGCCAGTGCCAGCCACTGGTGGGTCTCCTGGTTGCATCAGTTCAAAGATGCCATAGATGTTTCCAACCCTCTCAGAGAAAAAAAAAGCGAAGGAGGAGGAAGAAGAGATGGTCAAACAAATGAGCAAGGAATAAGCATGATTCGAAAGAAGATGGCATGTCCAACCCATAATAGCAATTCCATTATTATTGTGCTCAGAAAATATTTTGCTGCTATTCAGAAGCCAGCTGTGAAGTAAAAGTTACTCTGCATTTAGGAGGGAGGGAGGGAGGGATGGAGGAAGGAAGGAAGGAAGGTTTTTTTAAAAGTAGGTGATACAAGCCTGACAAAAGCTAAATGGTAAATCCCAATTCAAACCAAATTCCCTGAAGCTAAGGTTTGAAATACTTGAACACAGGTCTCTCTGGCCCCCCTTTTTTCCTGTGATTCTCAGAGGCTCACAACCAAATGCAGTGACACACTGTTCATCGTGACAATATCCCAGTGTGGGATAGAAAGGAAACAAGGACGCTTGTTAAAACCTGCCTGCTGAAGATAGTAACAAGAGGATTATTCCAACCCCATTTCTTCCAGTGAAGTGATTTATCACTGTCCCACTTATTCCAAGAAGAAATTGCCCGCTTCTACTCTTCCTTTTATAACATGGCTTGAGAAAGCTCTTCATTTCTTTGGCAAAAATGTCCAGTTCTAGGTCTGGTCCATTAGAATTCCACTGAAGAACTAGAAGGCCTGTGACTGAATGTTTTAACGTTCTGAATTAACAGCCATTTTCTAAGATAGCACTGAAGTTACAGACATGGGGAGTTGCTTGTACTGTATTTAAATTCATGGTGCCATCTAGCTCAGTATCACTGACACAGACTAGCAGCTGTTTCCAAATTGTCAAGTAGGAGTATTTCTAAGCTTGCTGGGAGACTTCAGGGATTAAGGCTGGGACCTTCTACAACTATATTCCATCACTGACCCTATGGTCCCTCCATTGGAGCATATGATTATGAAGACAAATTCAGCCAACTTCAACATAAGTGAACTGAAGACGCTTCTTGAATGAGAAGCGAAACAACTTAAGGCAGTGGTTCTCAACCTTTTTAATGCCGCGACCCCCAACCGGTCGTAAGTCGAGGACTAAACCGGTCGTAAGTCGAGGACTACCCAACCGGTCGTAAGTCGAGGACTTTCCCTGCCCGGGAGTGCCGCACATGCGTGGTTCCGCCCCCTGCGCCGGCCAAGGCGTAGCTGGCAAGCAGCAGAGACGGAGCAGGCCGACCACCAGCTGGCCCAGCCCAAGGGAGGTAAGGCACCCGCCGGAAAAGGGCAAAAAAAATGGCGGACAAAAAAAATGGCGGACAGCCTTGCTTGGCGACCCCCGTGAAATGGTCGATCGACCCCAAATGGGGTCGCGACCCATAGGTTGAGAACCGCTGCCTTAAAGCATAAGAAAAAGAATTTCCAGTTGTCTTTTGAAAAAGGGGACAACTTTGGGACAATCATGACCTGGATGACTGAGAATCTCCATAGACATTTAGTTGATGGAAAGTTGGTGTCGTGGTTCTCTGCCCATCTGAGCTTTCTAGTATTCAAAAGCAATTACATTCAAGTTGACCCATCCTGGGCTAATGGGAAGGAAGAAGGAGGTTGCGATGAAGTACCATCCTTCTGGCAACATGCCTAGCAACTGGAAGAAATGCATAGGCAATCATTGCCCAAGATTAAGTGAAACCCAACTGTCTCAATAACAACCAACATTTTCCCTCTATTGGTTGACGAAAAATGGTAGAATGTATTTCTGCTTTCCCAGATCCTTGACATAACTTTGTAAATGCACATTGTTCCTGTGTTTCATTCCTTCTGTCTATTGCACATAATCATTATCCTTTTTAAAGTCTCTTTACAAACAACAATGTTTTATTTTTCAGTTCCTTGATTGTTGATTAGCAATGGGCGGTGGGTTTTTGAAGTTATAATATACTGTTGTATTCATTCCAAAATAGATTTCCAGTGATACTAGCTTTGTGTGATACACCTATGTTAAGAGGGAAAAAAAGGTTTTTAATGAGTGACTGAATAGTATACTGTTTGGACGGCATAGATCAATATTTCTCAACCTTGGCAACTTTAAGAGATGTGGACTTCAACTCCCAGAATTCTCCAACTGGCTGCTGGCTGGGGAATTCTGGGAGTTGAAGTCCACATCTCTTAAACTTGCCAAGGTTGAGAAAACTGGCATAGATTATTTGTAGTGAAGAACGAGGGAAGAGTGGGGTTGGGTTAGCACATGTTTGATATGCCTAATGCTGAAGGAGCATAAAATGTTACAGCATTTCAAAATGACTGAAAAGCACTAGAAATCCTACGTCTAAGTATATTACCTTACACCTGGGAGCAAGAGTCAATTAAGCATGTCTAACTAGCCGGATAATTTAGGAATAAATAATGGTGAGAAGGGAAAAAAACAACATCCTTATGCTAAATCTTTCCGCTATTAGAATTGAGACAAGCTATAATTATGTTATTAAAATAAAACATAAATATCACAATTTCACCTATTCGGAATAATGGTGCCTCTAAACTATTTCAAAAATAATCCTTTTCCCCAGAAATATGAACACACATTATCAGGAGGACGCATGCTTTATTTGCCAGAATGACTAATGCTGCAAGCTCCACCCCTTTCATGCACGTATGCAGTATTGCAGTGCATGTAGAAAAGAGGCGGGGCTTGCATCACAATGCTGTACCTCTGCTTTTTTCATTCTGCCCCACCCTCAGTCCCCTGTGGATGCCACTGTACACTCTGCTATATAAAAAAAATGCACACACATTTCAGTGACAAACTTTATCACCAGCCACCATGTTTCTGTTGAAGGTAATAGAAACCAAATTTTACAGAGACATCAAGGAATTTGAGTTGGTAATTTGAAGTTGCTCCATGCAATTTTTTGAATAATGTTAATGTCTACTGGCACGGTGGTCTAGCAAAAACTTAGCAGCCTTAATCGATTGTGAATTTAATCTGAATTAAAATCAACCCTCAGTTAACTCAGACTTGCTGTAAATATAGTGACTCAGTACTTTGTGTTATGGTGTTTTTATGTGTGTGCACCTTAGACTCCTGGTGACTTTTAGGATAAGTCCCTGAAGTTTTGTTGGCAAGATTTTCAGAAGTGGCTTCCATTGCCTACTTTCAAGGGCTGAGAGAGAGTGACTGGCTGTCCTATCCTCTTTTGCCAACTTGGCTAATTATGATGGTTGAAAGTCACTACAATTATAGTCCAAGATAGCAGAGCACAGATTTTATGCTATCTATTTTTTTCCACGACTGTTGAGAATTTAATGAACTGGAACTAATTGTGAAATAGTGGATAATAGTACAGCCCACCTGAAGAATTAAAGGGTAGACATTTCCTTAGAATAATTGAACAGGATATTTTTAAGCAGATAGTCAGTATAAATATTTCTTTTAGGCGCAAAAACAGCTTTCAGCCCTTTCAAATATTTTATTTCTTAGTTCATCCTCAAAATATCTTCTATCACCAATTTATTTTTTTCAAAACAAGGAACACCTGATTTGCAGCAAAATATAATAATTTTTTATTGTGTGTTAGTGTGTGTATGTGTCTGTTATGGATGAGGGTCAGTGTAGTATAGTGGTGCTAGACTGGAAGTGAGGAACCCCAGGTCCTTGTCCTCCCTTAGGGATAGAAGCCAACTTGGGGACAATTTATTTTCTCTTAGCCTTAGAAAAACATCTATCTACCAAATTTCACTGCACCAGCATGGTAAATTATAATCTATAATTTCAATAAAAGGATTGCCATCTTACAGTGGATTATTATGGATGGATGGATGATCATTCACTCCAGTTTTTTTAAATCATCCTTCTTCAGATCCTTTATGGCAGGCATGTCAAACTCACGATGTCACGTGACATCACGCGACTTTTTCCCCATTGCCGGCAATGGGGTGGGCGCGGTTTCGGCGTGATGCATCTGGCCCGCGGGCTGGCAGTTTGACATGCCTGCTTTATGGAGTATTACCTTGCAATGTAAAGAGGATTGAATATCCTATTCACACTGAGCTATCCAATTGGTAGTGTAAATTCTCAGAAGGGTCTGCCACAATAGGAAAAGAATGCAAGAGACTAAATATGTTCTACTACAAAAGAAAACGGCAACATATGTCAGTATTCTCTGTCAAGAAAACCAAAACCATGTCAGTATTCCCTGCCAAAAAAACAAAACCAAATGACTTCTAGTCACTCATAACCAGAAGAATGTCAACATGATAATGGAAAATGAGACTTATACACCAGGTCATAAGATCTCCCAACAAGGTACTAGACAGGAACAGAATATAATTACGAGACGTCTTGGTGCTTATTATATGGCTTTGATATTATAAGCCATAAGGACATCCAGCTATATATGTGCCAGAGCCAAAAATCAAGTTTGATGCTACAGAGATATGTACATTGATACATTGGTATGTGAAACATCAGAACCTTAGAGAAAGGCTAGCATCCTGTTGTCGGAGGCAGACATCAAGACTGAACATTGATATTCAGGGAATCAGGGAATTAAAGTAGATTGGACTGGATCCCTTCCCGTTGAGCATCAGATCTACTATGGATAAGAATATCATACAGAAATGGAGAAGCCATTATTATTTACAGAAGGGTATCAGTTGAGCTCAGATACACCCCCCAATAATATAATAAAATAAAAATAATAAAATGACTTCAATAAGTGCAAAGTAAGCTAAAAAATGTTATGATTATCCAGGTCTGTGCTTTATCTACAAATGTGGAGAATGGTACTATCTTCTCCAGCATTTCACTACCAACGAAGAAAAAAAAACACGTTCCAAAACAACTTTCACGATTTAGAGCCCATGCAAAACTGATGAAGTTTGTTTGGAACTTAGTAATTCATTTACTAGCTTTTTAATTCAAGACTATACTGATATACTTTGTTATATAGTCTTTCATTCCTTCCTTCTTTTTTCATCCTCTCCTTTACCTTTCTACTTTTCCCCTTTCAGATTTAAAAAAATAAATCCTATTCATGTTATGTTCCTATTCATATTATTAAAGTTCATATTAGGCCTGTAGGAAAATCCATATTCAGCTGAAACTTTCAGTTCTGGACAGTTAATATATGAAGTACAGTACTAGCCAAATGAAATAATTAGAAATGCTTTTTGTGCAACCTACGCTGGAACATTTCAGGACTGAATTGTGGTTTGGATCCCTCTTTTGCTGCAAGGAAAGAAGTAACATAAAACCATGGCCATTAACATTATTTGTATTAAATCTTTGCATATGCTAGAGGAAGTAGTACCATTATTATTCATCTGTTTTGACTATCTGTCTCCTGTTCTTGCGAGCTTGCCAACAATCTTTCTCCCATTTAGAGGAAAATAAGAAAAACTGACAAATTAAGGTTGGGCAAATATTCATTAAAATTAATGCTACTGGAAAGTTCATTTAATTTATGGACCATCTAAAAATACTTGATTCTTTGTACCCTAATTTGTGAAATTAGGGTTATTATCAGGGATAAAAGCTTATTTCTAGATATTTAGTTCATTTCTTGAACTTACAGGCCTTGGATTTAGCTGTTTTCCATTTTATTTATTGAATTTATACGCTGCCCTATCACTACCGAGTGACTTTCCTGAACAGTGGACTTGTTACCAATGTTGATGGCTAAGCTAACATGTTAATTAAGTAGTCAGCATAATTGGCAACAATCCAGCTGTTTAAACTTATTTGTAGATAATTGTTTTGATTTTGGTGTACTGGTTTTACAAACTTTTGTTAGCCTTTTGAAGCAATTTAAAGAAACATCTAATGGTTACTCCAGGGGTCTTCAAACGTGGCCCTTTTATGACTTGTGGACTTCAACTCCCAAAATTCGTCAGCCAGGCATGCTGGCTGAGGAATTCTGGGAGTTAAAGTCCACAAGTCATAAAAGGGCCATGTTTGAAGACCCCTGGGTTACTCACTCTGGGCAAATGGAAGGATGATTAGTTTTAGGCCCATTTTTGCAGTCTATTGGGGATAGTTTTCTCATTGTCACAAATTTGCATGTATTTGATTAAACCTCACGGCATTCTTTGGTAAAAAGAAATTATTACTATTATTATAAAAATAATGTCCTTATTAATATAAGTAACTGAATTTAGGAGATAGACTCTCTGAAGAGCAGTGAGGATAAAATTGATTCTGCAAGATGAAAAGTTATAATAATTGGTGACTCATTACTGTTAGTAATTAGGCCACAGCCATTGACTCACAGAGTGTGGTCTGCCAGGAACACAGATTAGGGATGTGACAGAACCATTTTTAAGATTTATCACGTTCATTGACAGTTATCCCTTCATGTTAATCCATATGGGGGAGAAATTAAGAACGTGCATTCAGTTTATGTACACATTCATTGGCTGGCTTCCCACATCACGCTTAGTCATTGTGGGGATTTTGTTTGTTTGTTTTGGCTTAGCATGTTATGAAAACTCAGCCATTGTGGTTTGTAATGCATAGATTACAGTTTAGTTTGCCATGAATACCTAGCTAATAATAGTTATTCAACAGTTAAGAAACCACAGCTTAACAGTATATGAAGCAGTCACTTCTTAATTTTCTCATCCTTCTGCATCATAGTGGATCACTAGAAAGTTAGCTTCAGATCAACATTGTAACTCAATGATCACAATCAATTCAACTCAATTATATTTTACATATAAGTTGGTCAGAGAACTTTATTGCACATTTCTAACCATTCTGTAATGTATCAGGATCTGCTGGGCACAATTTATGCCAGCAGCTGCATTTCAGCTTTGAGTAATCAACTGGTGACCACTTTCCAAAACATAGGTGTCCAGTTCTCAACAGAGGATTGACACAGCAAGAGTAACAACTAAAACTGAATTAATTAATTAATATGACTTGATCTAGCTCTGAATAAAGCTTGCCCTCCAATTATCTAGATCGAACCTTCATCAAGCTAGTGTTAAGACTATAATTTTTCAATATCAGTTAAGATTATTCATCCTGAGTTCATATGGTCAGTACCATCTTGCATATCTGAAGGATATCAGGTGGGGAAGTTTGTCTATTATCCCTTTTTAAATCTCTTCTTATTTAAACGTTTGGAGCAGGCCAGTTGGCCCTTTAAAAATACATCCCCCTGAGGTCCGAGAATGTAACTTTTTGTTTTACTGCAAAGTAAAAAAACCACTCGATTAAAGGGAGGTGGCAGGAAGTTGTGTTAATTTCAAGAACAGCTAGCCTGACCCATGACAGGTAAGCTTCAGGATCCTTTCTGATTGAAAACAGAGTGTTTTTCATTATTGAAATACTAATTGGCCTAATTCTTTTTGATAATCCCCAGGGGGTACTGAATTACGAGCAAGGCACATTGTGGGGGTTTTTGTCTTTTTTTCTGCAGTTTCATGGCAGAAGATTGATGACAAAACTGGCAAGCGGGATAATTCTCTGAGGGCTCCATTTTCTTTCTGTTTCATCAGACAGACTAGAGAAAAAAAGATGATTATTAACTTTTTGTGCTCTGGAATCTGATATAAAACCAGAGCAAACGTATCTAGTGATGAGTCCATATTTTAAATGCTTCTTTCTCTGAAATAGGATGTAACTATAATATTCCAGAAAAGCCATATATAGCTCCAATAGAAAAGAACATATGTAGCTCCGGGTTGAACTCTGGAATCTTTGGTGCTCTCTGAGCTTAGTTGTTTGCTGGAGGATATTTTATTATGTTGATGTTGCCTAGTTGTATAATGAAACGTCTGCAAACAAACAAACTCAGGGACCACTATGGACTCCACAGGCTATATTTTCAACACATTTTTTCACTGTTGGAACTGTTAGCATGAAATAATGGAGCAATGTGTTCAACACATTCTGCTTCCCCATGTAGACTGCTCTACCTATAGAAATCTTTTGCTCTCCATTACAAATGTTCCATTTTTGGATGTTCGTGTCCATGGAAAATTTTGCGGTAAAAGAACTGCATGTACTGCCTGATGTGCTTAAGGAACAAATTTGACCCCCTTTTGAATTATAGCAGAATAACAGGAGAACATCACAATCACAAGTAATACTACTCTTTGCTCAGTAGGTACTATGGGGACAAAAATAGTTTGCTAAATGTCTCATCTGCTTTGCTCCAAATTGTGGTATGATTGGCACTTACGGTATTTCTCTCCCTTACATAAAGGTATCGATCAGGGTCAGATGACGTATGATGGCCAACACTGGCATGCTACAGAGACCTGCTTTTGCTGCGCCCAGTGTAAGAAATCTCTGCTGGGCCGACCATTTTTGCCAAAGCAAGGGCAGATTTTTTGCTCCAGAGCCTGCAGCATGGGTGATGATCCAAACGGTTCAGATTCATCGGACTCTGCCTTCCAAAGTGCCAGAGCCAAAGAATCCCGGCGTAGTGCTAAGATTGGGAAGAACAGGAACAAAGGAGAAGAGAACGCCAGCAGCCAGAGTAATCAATTGCAGGTGACCTCCAGCAGACTGTCTGCAGACGTGGACCCTCTCTCCTTGCAGATGGACCTGCTGAGTTTGTCCAGCCAGACTCCGAGCCTAAACAGGGATCACGTATGGAGGAGCAGAGATGAACTCTACCACTACGGGAACAAAATGGAGCAAAGTCCATCACAAAGCCCTTTGCAGCTGCTCAGTCAGTGTAACGTCAGGACGTCCTACAACCCAGCACAGACACCAGGTCCTCAACAAGAACTGTGGGGTAAACATTTCAACAACCCAAAGAGAAACACCTCTCTAGCCATGAAAGGACATGGTAGCAGTTTCATTCAGGAATGCCGAGAAGATTATTACTCAGGAAGGCTTCGGTCGCAGGAGAGCTACAGTGACATGTCCAACCAGAGTTTTAGCGAAACCAGAGGGAGTTACAAGTATGACCAAGAAGAAGACAGCAGCATGACGGAACAGCATTGCCGGACCAGGCATCCACTTAGCGCGCTGAAATTCACTGAAAAATTGTCCCGCACAGAACAAACTCCTCGGGGTTCAATGGAGTCGCTGGCTCTTTCCAATGCAACAGGTAAGATCTGTGGGTAATCGGCTACTAGAGTATGGTTTCATGTCAGGGAAGGCAAAGAGAAAATTAAGGTTCATTTTAACACTAACTCTACAGTTAGTGAAAGAGAAGGGAATCTTTCTACTCTCGTGACAGGCAGAAATGCCTTGATCACGATGTCCTCACATTGCACAAATACATTTTTATCTCCAGCTGCCTGAGAACAAGAATTTAATTGAAAGAACAAAGAGGGAACATAGGTTAGTGGCAAGCTAACATGATCTCACACTCAGGCGATTTCTCTTATCCTGTGCGAAGGAGGAAAGTAGGGTATGGATGCAGCAGAGGGAATAGTATTAAAAGGTTCAGCAAAGAAGCAGGATAGAAAAACGGGCAGAGGTTTGTCAAAGAATTCTGCTTAAAGTCACCTGCCAATGTGCCAAATTAGCCTGTTAGATCAGAGCTACTTAGCCTACAGTTCTTTTTTCCTCTCCTTAGGATGGAGGGCAGAATAATTGAACCAGATTATTACACTGTTTCTCTCCCTCCCTCTCCCCCTCCCTCTCTCTTTCTCTTTCCTTTCCTCAAATCATTATTCAGAGATTTTGATAGAGATACATAACTCTCTATTAAGCTCTCTTGGGCATTAACCATATTCTTAAACACAGTAATAATAGCCATAGCTTTGGTAATTCTACAGTAGCACTTACCATAAAGCAGAATAGAACTGTTATCCCAGGTAGCAGATTTTGGATGACCTCAGGCCGTAAATATTTATTTTAATATTTATTATTATAATGATTGTCAAGGATAGGAAAGGGTGCATTGTCACTTTGTGCCTCAGACAACAAAGTAATTTGGCCTGGCTTGGGGTACTTTGCAAGCGGAGGACAGTGTGCGCTGGGTGCTTAACCTGTGCAGCAAAACGTCTTGCCTCATTTTTGATCAGGCGAAGTGAAATAAGGAAGAGAAAAATCCACACCCTGCATGTTAATTCAGAAGGAAAAGAAAAATATATTGGATCTTTGGGCAAAGCTTGCTGAAACAGATCGATCCTGGGTATGATGGGTAGGAGACGTAAGGGAATTGGAGGTCTGTGTGCAGGTCTGCTTTTTCCACATTTTTTGATCGTGTTGAGTCAAACTTGGATAGACTTTAAAGCAAGTTGTGGATTCATGCAGCACCGTTCCTTGGTTTTTCTTTTGTGAGTATGGACTTTGCTCGGTGACTTTCACGAGTTTAAAAAGATAGCATGAGATGTTTATATCTACCAAGAGATGTTTATAACTAAAAAACAAGGAGGACTGAAGAGGGAAAATTGGGATAACAGTTGAAAGGAAGGTGAGCCAATTTTCACCTAGAATTTCATGGCCAAATTTGGGTACTTCTACCACCTGTCATATCATGTCTATGTGGTGCCACAGCCGTTAAAGTAATTGCTCATGTTTTGTTTGATTGTCGAATAAATAAATGAATGAATGAACAGCCGCGGGGACCTGATTTGCAGATCTGATTTCCTCCTGGGCTCTAATTTATGCATGTGAGCAGAACTGCTTAGATTGTAGTAAAGGCAGTTAACTACAATACAAGAGCCTGTCACATTGAAGAGATTGGGATATCATGTAAAGGGGATGTATTTACTTGACTGTTGATTCTTTGTATTTACCACATATGTATTTTATTACATATACTCCTAGACCAGGAGTAGGCAACTTTGGCTCTTTTATGACTCGTGGACTTCAACTCCCAGAATTCCTGAGCCAGCCATGCTGAGGAGAAATGGAGAGGTTTCCATGCTGAGTCATGCTGGCTCAGGAATTCTGGGAGTTGAAGTCCACGAGTCATGAAAGAGCCAAAGTTGCCTACCCCTGTCTTAGACTTATAACCATTAGTTTAGTGACAGTTCAAAGTTAACAACAGCACTGAAAAAAGTCACTTATGACTTTTTACATTTATAACCGTTGCAGTAGTCCCCGTGGTCACATGATCAAAATTTGGATGCTTGGCAACTGGTTCATATTTATGACAGTTGCAGTGTGTCCCAGGGTCATGTGATTTTACCTTTTGTGACCACCTGACCAGCAAAGTCAATTGGGAAGCCAGATTCACTTTACAATCCTGTTACTGACTTAACAACTGTGGCAAGAAATGTCATAAAAAGGGGCAAAACTCACTTAACAATTGTCTCATTTAGCAACAGAAATTTTGGGCTCCATTGTAGTCATAAGTCAAGGACTACCTGTAGTGTATTATCTTTTATCTAGATTATCTTACATTTGATTTTTGTTTTATATTTTTGATATGGTCATAAAGACTCATCAATTAATAAACTATTTAAACTATCTACCTAGAATTAGAAGTAAGGATTAAGGGGTGAAGTTAGTCTTCCCCAGGGACATCAACCTGTGCACGTCAAAGGTGAAACACATTTATTTGTATTCCTTTAAAACCGGATATGAAGGATCAGCAAAAAAAAAAAATTCTAAATGCACACTTTAAAAAGCACTAAGCTCGCCAATAAAACGATTTCAGTTCATTCCGTAAAAGTTATAGATTTTGCCTAAGGAGGAATAAGAATAACATTCTGGGTTTTGCTTTTAACTGATAACAGTATATATAGATATGTATCTGAAAATTGGCATTGTCGGTTTGGAAGCTAAGAGATAAATGATGTGTCTGGGGCTGTGAAATTAAATCTTTTGAAATGGAATTTTAACAGAAGGGAAGTGGGTGATGGAGTGGACCAATGGAAGAGCTGCCTTAGATTTGGCTTGTTTGTCATGCCAACATCTGGTGCTTTTATTCCTTCTCCTGAAGGAGATGGCATTTCTGAGCTTTTTCCTAAGTCAGATGAATTCGATGGAGGGAGAGAGAGAGAGAGAGAGAGAGAGAGATCCTCTTAAAGGAGCAGTCATTGTAACAGAAAGAGGAGAATATCCTTCAGAGACTGCAGGTAATATTATTTGAAGATCCTTCAGAGACTGCAGGTAATATTATTTGAAGAGGAGAAACCAAATACAGGGTATAATTCCCGGGTAAAACAAATAAAAAAATAATACAGTATAGGTCAGTGATGGCGAACCTTTTAGAGACCGAGTGCCCAAACTGCAACCCAAAACCCACTTATGTATCATCGGGTGCCGGGTGAGTGTGGCCCATTGGGTGGGTGTGGCCAATTAGGTGGGCATGGCCAATTGGGTGGGCGTGGCTGCAGTGGTAACGGTAGACTGGGTGGGACTAAAAAGTTCAACCAATCAATTCCAACTTTGCGAGATCTTTTTTTTTCCTGCGAGAAGTTGAAATTGATTGATTGATCAGACTTTTTTTTTTTTTTGCACATGGCGGCGGAGGCCTAAAGCGAAAAGGTTTTATAAAACCAGCTGAAGACCTAGGACTGGGGCGACGGCGCACGTGCCCACAGAGAGGGCTCTGCGTGCCACCTGTGGCACCCGTGCCATAGGTTCGCCATCAAAGGTATAGGTACTCCTTGACTTACTACCACAATGGAGCCCAAAACTTCTGTTGCTAAATGAGACTATTGTTAAATGAGTTTTTTTTCCCATCTTACAAACTTTCTCATCACAGTTGTTAAGTGAATCACTGCAGTTCAGTTAGTAACACGGTTGCTAAGTGAATCCGGCTCCCCCTTTGACTTCTCTTGTCAGAAGTTCGCGAAAAGTGATCACGTGACCCAGGGACACTGCAACCATCATAAATATGAACCAGCATCCAAATTTCGATCATGGGGATGATTGTAAATGTGAAAAATAGTCCTAAGTCGCTTTTTTCAGTGCCATTATAACTTTGAATGGTCACTGAACGATTGGTTATATAAGCTGAGGACTATCTGTACATACAATTTGGATGTCTTATGGCAGCTTAAAATGTCTCCAAACTCCAGGAATAAGGAATCATTTCATAATTATGGAAACGCGCTGTTTGGAACCTTTCTGTTAGTATCCATAATTACAGACGCTTCTGTCAGATCATGCACTGAATGACAAATCACACAGCCTTTCTTGACTACACATGAGGTTTTCCTGCTCTTCTTAACAGGCCTATGAAATGTTAATTGTTTGATTGCAAATACAGATGCCTGCCTTTTTTTTTTTTTTTTTGTAGTTGCAAGAGCCACTTTTCCAGCCACTCACATGTATAATCTGTCCATTTTGCTATTTTTGTTGCAGTCTGTCTACTAAGGACAGAATTGCTTTGCTGAAATCCTGACCTCCTACAACACTTGATGAAATGGCCGGCTTCTTGAAGCTGCGTCTGATACCTCTCTGATGTGCAATCCAATTATAGTGACAAAATAATCAAACTCTTGTCTGCCTGCCTGCTTGCTTGCAGTCTTTTCCTAGTCTTGCGTGAGCTCTTGTGGCGTCAAAGGATGTTCGTGATCACGTAAATCGGCTGAGAATAGAATGCTTGCAAATAATGTACCCGATTAAATAACGAGAGGTGTATTTATAAGAAACTTTGCATAGGATACAGGAATACAGGAGGTTTTTTTTTCCCCTCCTAGTTTTGACACTAGGTAATGGGTATAGAACTGCAATTTGAATCCCACGTCCCTAAATTCTGTAAAATAGTGTTGAGGTTTAGAGTTTTCTGAAAAGATCCTGTTAGAAATTGGGAAGGATGATCATTTAAAAATCTCACTGGGCAGTAGCTTTCTTCCAAGGATTCCCTAGTTAAAAAAAATACTAATCGTGGGCTGTGATAAGATAGGATGAACCTCTTGACATTCCCTAGTTTGTTTGGTTTT